CCAAATAATAAAGACAATTATATGTGAATATCAAAATCTCTATGATTGTTTGAACAATCAAACAAAGTTTTTGGTGTCTCAATTGTTGTAGGTACCATATTTTTAGCTATTGTTTGGACATGTGTAGCAACTAAAACTATTATTTGTCCTCATATAATAAACAAATAATTTTCCAAATAAAAACTCAATATACTTCTACAATTCATATGAAATCCAATGACTTAATTAATAAGGCCACACTATTGAATCTTTTTCCTAATTCAATAATTTTAGCTTCTAACATTTTTTCTTATTCAAAGTAAGTTACTTGTGTGAATGTAATATAAATCAATTATTTTCATTAAAGTTAAGTTTATCACAATGAGTACACTTTAATAGCTTCGTTTTAAACTTATCTTCTATCTTAGCTATTTTTACTTCTGATTAAGGCTTTTCTATATATAAAGCCTTCTTCTTCTTAAGATAATTGAGATCATTTTTAATCTGACTAAATTCACTACACTCCTAAAAATGTATAATCCTTTTAGGTTGAATTTTTCCTAAGTTACTCGTGGCAGTTGTAATCTTCTTAGGCTTAGACAAATCCATCATTCAAGCTATTATGTCAGTAGCATCATCTTGACAAAGTATCCTATTACATTTTTCAACTTTACCAAATGCTTGTTGCTAACATTGCTTTGCCTGCATAGTTGAAAATAATTCTTAGTGTAGTTAAATCTAAGAGTCTCTTGTCAATCTTAAATAAGAAGATTTTGATAAGTTGACATCCAACAAATATACCACCTAACTCTATTGCAAATAGAATCAAATAAGTATATATGGTACATGAGATATCTTCCTTTTCACATCAAAAGTCTTAAATGCATTGCATTTGATTATATCTAAAACCTCTACACTTGTACTCTAAGTATTTAATGAACATTTGGAAGAGGTCAAATGATGGTAGCTCTTTCATTGTAAACAAAACTACCTACATTAAAGATATACCAATTTTTCCTTAGATTGGATCTTTTTCTTTGACTATAGGCATTAGACTTGAAATAATATTCTCTTTAAGAGGTGAAATAAGCTTTATTTGTAACTTTTAATAATATTTTACTTCTTGTAATTCCAGCAAGTATTCCTTACTATATCTCCAATAGGTTTGGATTGTTCCATGCTCCAAGTATTATGATAAAGGCTCAAAGCCATACCATTCATTGAAAAAGAAAAACTTAATGTTTTTTCTTCATCTACATTTGAAATTTGAACTTCTAGTGTAGCAAAGAAATGCCTTCAACTTGTCTTGACAACCAATCTTTCACCATGTTATAAGAATTATCTTCAATCTCATAAAATACATCTATCCTCAAAGATCCAAAGCTTCTTAGTAGTATCTTATGCCACAATAGATTGAAAAACCTAGTTAATATCAATTGTTGGCTTGAAATCCTCAATATGGTCACTATCTAAGTAATCCAATAAAGAAAATCTATAGTATTGAATCATAGTATATACCATAGAAGAGACTATTTAGATATCTATAAGTATCTAAATATTAAAAATGCAACAAGTGCTTGCAAACACTACCAAATTTTATAATTTACCGGTCATCACTTTATAATCACTATAGCCCCAATATATCTACAAATAAGAGGATCTTGTTTGCCATCAACTTGACATCATTCTTATGATATGCCTATCAACATAAGCTAGTATAAATATAAAATAGTATAATTATGAAAAACTTCTAACAATAATATCTCCAATTAGAAGAAAATATCAAAAATAAAATCCAAAAATCCATAGTGGATTTTCATTTCCAATAATATAAAAGTAAAAATCATAAATGAATTAGAGCAACTAATACCTATATATATTTGATGGTCACAAATTTTAAAACCTATGACAATAGAAGATAATTATAATAAAATAAAATATGGATTAGTATTAAAAATCAAAAATTCACTTAGAAAGTAATTGATATTTTAAAATTTTCACTTCAATTCTCCAAATGATCTCTACTTTAAAAATTGAGAATGTCAATGAATTTTTTTGGATTTTTTCTATATAAAATTGACACAAAAATGATCAAATTTGGACTCCATGTGTACTTGGAGTGAACTTTGACACTTGTCACTTAAGAGATCTAGACAATGTGTGTGTGTATTTTCATTTTTTATTCTTAATAATGTTCTTATGACTGCAAAACGAGACTTTGACTATGGGATCCTATCACCATGATCCTATAATTGTATAGTCCTATAATCATGAGTTTTTTAATCGTGGATATTTATGACAATGCAAGACCATGTTATTTTGCTTGTCCTATCTTTGCTTCAATTCTAAGAATAATGATTCAATTTGTTTAATATTCGCATCGTAATTTATATGCATAAAGCAAGTTTTTACAAAAATTATAGTATGTACAATCCTATATTGTTCTCATCTTGGATTGCACATGGTATACAACTTAATAGATGACAAAAAAAATTAAAAATTAAAAATCTCCAAACATAAGCCATACTTGCTCTCCTTTTCTATTGTATCATACATCAACACTTAACGTCTAATGCAACTTCACCTCTCATCTTCTCTATCGCTTTATCCTACATAATCCAATATATAAAAATTGGATGCTATTTAGACAGTGCCATGTGCCACATTGTACCTTGCATAGCATCTAAAATGATAATAATAAAAAAAAATATGACCACTGCCTAATGATCCCACTAGTACTTCACATCATCATAATTTTTTTTACTACAATCCTTGATGAGTTCCAACAATAGCACCTCTTTTATATCAATAAGCTCTTATATAATAATTCATTGCTACACAATTCACCTTATTTGTGACAAATTTTTCAACTTGCAATCTTGTGATGCAATTTTGTGATCTTATTACCTTGTATAACTATGTACATCATATCTCTTTGATCTAATATTCACTTCATCAATTCCATAGTAACTTCATAGTGGCCTGATTATATTGTTATAACACAATATCTCATGACAATGATTCCATACTACATTATATTCCAATACAATAGTCCAATTAGGTTTCAATACCTAGCACACAATGTCTAAAATCCAATAGCAAAAATAATCCTAAATTATAATTTTTATTTATTTATTTTTATTTGTTTATTTATTTATTGATTTTATCTACTTCATTCTAATTTCTTAGAGAATGATAGATTCTTGTCAAGAAGTAAAAGATTAGAAATTTATACCAAACTAAGTCAAGCTATCTCTCCCACCACAAATGGAAAATCTAAGAATACAAGTGTGAAGGTAGAGAAAACCCTATAGCTTTATCAAATGGCTAAATCGCCACAGCCAAGCAAGCCTTTACAATAAATTATCTTTTTTTCAAAAATCACTTACAAGATTTGATTTGACAAGAATTTCATGTCAAAGATATTTTTCTACCTAAGTATCCAAATCTTAGTTGACATTAACAAAATCAATTAACAGAATAAGTTATAATGGATGAAAAACCACTAACCAAACTAAACTATATATAATTGACAAGATTTGGCACCTAATGTCATATCACATGACAATACAAAATATATTGTTTGGTTTAAAATCCTTATTTTAAAAGAAAATATCTGAAATTAATTAAAAATAATAAAATTTTAAACTTGAATATAAGGTTAGAAATTATAATAATATTTATTAGATATAGAATCTATACTTAGTTTATATATATATATATATATATATATATATATAATCATAATAGTAGCATAAAAATAAATCTTCTTATTGTTGACTTAATACTTAATATTTTATTAGAAAAATTTGTCAAAATATGATTTTAAGAATATTTTTTAGTTTTTAGTTTTTAGTTTTTTTAAATATAAAAATTATTTATATAATAATTAAATTTCAAGAACGTATGAAACTAAATAAAATTCGTCTAATTAAATAATTATATAAATTTTTTTAAAAAATTAAGTTATTTATAATAAAATAAATTATAATTTTGTAAAGTTTTAAATACAATCAACTTGTTCAGAGAAGCACGTATTATGAAGTAATATAAATAAGATTTTATATTTTTCAACCATGATTAAATATAAATATTAGAACATGGCAAATAATATATTACACGCTTGTATATTTAAAGTAGTAGAATTTACAATTATTTTGTAATTTTTTATTCTTCATAAAGTATCATGTCATGTTTTTTTATGTTTTACATTTAGTTTCTTAGAATATTTTTCTACTCTTTTTGTAAAATATAAATCTAAGCTTTTGTTCAAGAGTAGTTGTTCAAGAGATATTATGTAATTAAAATATAATCTTGGACTAAAGTTTGTTTTATAAAATATTTAATGATTTTACTAAGTTTTTTTACTTCTTTAAATTGTGTTTGTAAAGCTAATTTGAATAAAATATATTTTTTTTAAATATTTTTTATTCAAAAAAATTCATTTTTCTTTTTTTTTGAGTCTGTTCAATTTTAATTAAATTTCATTTTTGCTTCTTTGTGGATCCCAATTTTATGAAGAGGAAATCATTGATTATTGGGTGATTTTCTCCCCAAGAATTTTATTTATTCAAAATGTATAATTTAAAATATAAATAAATAAATTTAAAATTATATATTTATATATATCAAAAATTCAAAAAATTGTTTTTAGAAAACCTGTAAGTAAACAAAACTAATATCACCTCCTCATGATATTTAAAAAAGAATTAGATTACAATGGAATGATATAGATTTCAGATAATTTTATACACGAATATTTCCGATTCATTTTGAGTTTGTGACCCTCAATTTCATGAATAAAAAGTTTAGCCACAACCAATGAGCAAGAAGGACAGCGAGGCATTGCAATGTGAAAGGAGTTCAGTTGAGAGGCAACTCAGTGTGAAAAGGATCAATGTGCAGGACGTGGTGAGAATGGGACCCACGGTTCAAGCGAGTTAGTGTGAACGGGGCACATCACGGAGTTGGCGCTGGATTTGAAAGCCTTCCCGTTCGCCTCGCCCTATTCAAAATTTTCCGTAGTCTTCGCCCGCTCGGCCTTTGCTTGCTCCTGTCTCTCGTTGTTTTTGTCTCTGTAGCCGTTGCTCACACCGCCAACTGTTTGTCGTTCTCACTCTGGCGCTAGTTCGGGTGGCCTCAGGGTGCTTAAGCAGGAGCGCCGGTGGCAGCGTGTGCAAGGGAGCTGAGGGAACCCTCGGATTGTGCCCGCTCTCGCTTCTGCTTTGCTGATGAAGGCGGGCGACGCTTGCGAGGTTAGTCGCGCGGGCTTCCATTTCTAGTTGTTTTCTTTGCGTTTTCGTTTTTTTCTGGTGGAGTGTCAGTGATCTGTTTAATGAGTGTTTTATTTCTTTTGTACAGCATCGACCCCCCGAATTCTAACCTCATAGTAGAAATTTGGATTCCTTGGTCCCTCCAGACAAGTTTTTGTATAGTCAATTTTTTTATTTTATAAACGTATTCTTAACATTGTTACTTGTTTTAAATGGGCGACACTCGATAGTAATGCGTTTTTTGAGTACTCGTTAATTTTTTGCTTGAGATGACGGTGTCTTTTCTGTCGGGGGTTGGCATCAATTCTCTTCTCTGAGGCAATTGCGCTTTAGGATTCTTTGACATAATTTTTTTTCAGTGATGTTTTACATGCAATGTTGTTGTGCAATTCTTCGCGCTTATTTTGTGGGAATGTCTATTACCTCTATTTGTTTGCTGTTCAACCTTCAGGTAACCGCGAAGACAAACGTTTCACATGTTTTATGCCATTATGGTTCCTTGTGTGGACAATTTAGATGGAACTTCAGTTATTAGTGTATCTAAGTGAAGTTTTTGAGATCAGTCCCTGCAGATTAACATAGAGAGTTGCGGCAAGTGCAGGGAGTGTTTGGGATGCGTTAGCTGGTGGCTGGTGTCTGGTGTTATCATGAAAGGCAGGGATGAAGATGTGGGCTACTGGAACTACCCATAGAGACACTTCGATACTGGAATCAAATGACATGATGAGTAGCAAAGTGACAGTTGAATCAGGAGTTGACATGGATGACTGTAAAGTCTGGGGAAGCTCGTGAGGTGAAGATTCAGAGAGCAGACAAGGTGAACTGTATTTTCGGATATTTACTCCACCTTTTAGGTTTAAACAGGTTGAACGATGGATACAGTCCGTCGTTCTCTGCGGGTAGGAAGATCAAAACTTGGTACTGAGCCAGTATCTAGATCAACACCAGCCATTGAGCCGAAAAAGACTGGCAGGCAGCTCTCTGGGAAGAAAGTACTCATAGATGTCACAAACACGTGCGACAGTGAATCGAATCGTTCCAGAGGGACTCGCGTAGCCAGTAAACAGGGCGAGTGTAATGAATTGGGCAATCGATCGGCCTTGAAACCTGCAGTTGATTTGCAAATGCCAAGTATTACAAAGAACAAGAAGAAAGTAACTAGCAGCAAAACCGTTTCAAGTTCATCGTCCCTCAGTGAATCCAAGACTACTACTCTGGCTGCTACAGCTAAGGACCCTTATGTTAAAGCAGTTCAAGTGCGGAAAATTCAGGAGAAAGAGGCTGTTGTTGGTAGCAAGTCTGGTCCCACCTCAATTCCGCATGAGGTAGTCAATCCCATTGCTACGCTGAAGGAGAATTTAGAGAAGCCTAACCGGGTGCGGAAGGCTAAAGACCCAAGGATTCCAGGTGATAACAAGAGTCTCTCCACTTCAAATTCACTGGATGCATCCAAAACCATATCTGTGGTGGTCACACCGAAGGACCCTGTGGTGAAGGTTTGCCGGTCTCGAAAGATTAAAGGATCAGTGGAGTTGCAGTCAAACTCTGGTATCACTCATGTGAGCGATGGGGTCAGTATTGTTTTTCAAGGAACTGGAACTGTGAAGCAAAATACAATTGGGCCATCATGCCAAAGGTTAGCACAGGTTGGATCAACTCAGATTACTGATGAAGATATTGGTGCAGTCAAGGAGAAGATAGTGTGCGATGAGCAAAGCAGCATTTCCCATGAGCAGCAACATCGAAAAAGAATTCCAAGATCAACCGGAAAGAGCAGTGGTTTGGGAGAAGCTCATTCTGAAGCGAAGACGACTTTCGTGAAACCGAAGAGGGTCTACATGTCTAGCAAAGGCTTAGATGCAACATCATCTAATGGCAAAAAAATGGCATTGCCACTTAAAGGGAAGAAAATTATGGGTAGGAAGGCTCCGGCGAAGATCATAGACATGCAAGCACCGTCTTCGTTAGTCACTGGATTTAATGACAGCCGTATTAATATTGCTATGTCAGGCCGCGATACTAACTGTATAATTGAATCCTTCAGAAAAGTCTCGCTGAAGGTATCGAATGAAAACCAAGGTAGTGCCAACAGATCTACCACTGAGGATGGTTTGGTGACCCCTAGAGTAGGAGCCTCAGATAAGTGGAAGAACAGCAGAACAGCCACGCCCAAGTCTGACTACAAGCATTTGCTAGGAAGTGGAGGAAAATCTGCGCAGAAAAACAACAGAAGTACCGTGCGGTTGGAATCATCTGGCGTTATAATGAGTGCTTCAACGGAACTAATAGTGAACAATGTCCTAGTCGGAAAACCCGCACTGAAAAAGAGAACCAAGAAGAACATAGTAATGCTATCAGGCAAGACAGCTGAAGGAGCAGTGGGTGGTGAAGATGCATGTCCCGCAGGAGGGCAAGGACAAGGTGAGGCAAACTCTAGAGTTTTGAACGAAGTTCCCACTGGAGCCTCTAAAAGTACATCTGTACAGCAAAGCTTTAGGAGAAATGCTACTCGTGGGGCTAGGAAACCTGTGAACTATGCAGAAGAGGACAACCTTGTCACTAGCAAAATTTCCTCTGTTTCAACTGGGACCTCAATGTTGCACAGTGGTCAGACTTCAACCAAAGTTGGAGCACCAACTGTCCAACAGGCAACAAGGAGGGGCAGAAGAAAGGTTGAGGCAGCGGTTATTGCACCGACACACAGTTGCATTGAAAATCCGCTTCGCGTCGATAGCGAAGACTTAAACAGCGGCGTCATTGCGATTCCAACTACCATAGTGAGCTCTTCGGAACAGGAGAACGATCGATTTAAGTTAAAAAAGTACGCCTGCGAGAACGTACCAAAGGACCTATCCCCAGCAGCTACAACTAAGTCGACAATACGTGTAGCAGAAAGCTCAATTCAATTACCTAGTTCAATTATGACAGAGAAGCAGTGCTCGTCTAGCGTTCACACGATAGACGTTGAAAAACTTGCCCCCAGTCTAGAGGATACAGCACGAACTCCAACTCGTAAATTCATCCACGCGAGCAGGACACCAAAAGCCAAGATTCAAGATAGCCCCAACTTACCCACAGCTGGATTGTCGGAGCAAAGTGCCCATATCACAGTTGCGACCGGCGCATATGCAACAAAGTCTTCATCTAGTGGAGAAGTAGGTATTAAATCACCATCCTCAAAACCACCACTGAAGAGGGGACAGAAACGTGGCCGCAGAGAGAACAAACTTGGGCCAAATATTACCCTTGGCCAAACTTCTGACCTTGATAGATTGTTGATAGACGCCGCTGTTGATGCGAAGCCAAATTGCTTTGTACATCTGCGTGATGTAAATGCATTTATCTCAAGCGATGATCTTGAAAAGTACAACAAGGAAATCAGTGGAGTGCACGAGCTCTACGAGCAGGTGGACAAGGGCGAAGTAGTGGCTGAGGATGACCCTGACCAGGCAGTGTTTGAGCATGAAGACCAGTCGTGCGTAAATGTTTCAGGGAAAGAATGCAACACTTTACCTTTCAAGCCTTTGGCTTCATTTGATGATGCGGACATCTCGAAAAGGTTGAAGGATTGTTGTAAAACTCTTGGGAAACCTTCTCCACTTCAAGCCCATGCTATACCTTTCCTCCTGGCCTCCCGTGATCTTGTCGCAGTATCTGAGTCACATGCTGGTGAGTCCGAATCGTCACTGTTTTTTGGCAAAACTTTAACAGTAGAACGAGTCACTATGAGAGATGTGTATCCTTTTCTAATATTGGACTGAGAAAAGTTCTCAATCCGTCACCAACGCTGCGTTTCCTTGAGTTTGTGCAGGATTTGTCCAAGTCTATGGTATGCCTGTAATCCAACACGCAGTGAAGAAAAAAAAGAGTTATGTTAGGAAACGGCCTTCACCTCTCTGCTTGGTACTCGCAACCTCTTCAGATCATGCCCGACAGGTTATCCACATACCTTCTTAGCCCAATTGAAGCTGTGGTATGGTCTTTAGTACTACTTTCCGAACAAATTAAGCCAGTAATTTCACCAAGCTCTTTCATCCATAATAGTTGGGATTCTTGACAATCTTACTGATCTTTCAGATGCTTTATTACCCACTGTTGAACGTCTTATATGTAGCTAATGTGGCTTCTGCTGCAAATGTAGATAACAGAATCACTGAAGGAGACTTATGGTTCCCTACGTGTTAATATCGCAAGCGCTGTTGAGAATTCTGAAAATGTGTCTAAGATGGAATCAGTGAAACCTGGAGTGGTAAGAACCTAGGTGTTTTGCTGTTAATTTTCGCCTCTTTTTGTCGCATTCGTTTACCTTTTTCCCTCGCAATTATATGTGAAAAGTATGCTCTGAAGTATTTTGGAAAATCTCTGAAACAATGAATTTGCGAATTAACAAATATGCACGCAAATATGCAGATCTGTCGCATAATGTTGTGTTTAACAAAAATGATGTTGAATAATTGTACAATAATTTCGAAGTGTTGGTGCCCGTTTTAATATCAACAGACACTTGTGTAGTCCTTCAGTTACATTGTCGTATTGTATGTCCAAATCGCTTTGCACAAGACGTTTTTGGAATAAGAAGATTTTTTTTCAAGTTAAGTATCTGAAAGTGCAATGATATAGTCGTCTACAAGCCCAACGGACCACGACGGTGATCCTTAGGCAGGTATTAGGGGCTGACGGTTTTCATGCATCTATATGCAGGCAATTCTCGTGAGCACACCGCACTGCTTGCAGAAGATGCTTGAGGATGGTAGCTGTTCACTCGCTTTAGTAGCATTCATTGTAAACTTCACTACTTATATCTGTTCCGCTATCCCAATTCTTTCTTTCTATGGAATTTCTTAGACTGCCACCAGATGCAAATTGTTTTACCAGTGTGCTTTTTCATTTTTTCAGTAAGACAAAATTTGCATTGTTGAATATCATAGCAAGCAGTTAAGTATATTTCATCAACCATGTGCAATACAGGTACTGGATGGTGCAGATTGCATGTTGAACAATGGGTGCGAGGCATCGTTGCAAGTTATTTTTGATCAAGCTCCTGCATGTAAGTCGTTGTTGGTACTCTTTTTGACTTTGCAACACAATGTAAACTTCTGCTATCTACACCAGAGCAATCATTAGCCGTGTTGAGTTCCCAACGTAGTCATGGCGCATGTTGTGCAAGGCTCTCAAACTTGCTCTGAAGAGGCCACTCCAGCGATTACGGAACTGCTAGCCCGAACCCTGCTTGAGAGCCTTTTATACCAATAGACTTTTCATTTATTTATATACAGAGCGACATGATTTTCTCTGAATAACGAATACCTGACATCCTCTATGCCTTTTTGTTCTTATCAGCCCAGCTTGTTGGAGTGTTCTCTTCAACTTGTGCATCTGGACTTGAACAGCTGGTGCAAAATTTTGTTCCGAATTCGGATGTAGTAAAAATAATTGTAAACAAATCCGTTAATATTACTATGGACACGCAAGATCCTCTTCCACTAGAGCAGGATGTCCATCAAATTGTAGAGGTATGTTTCATAACTTCATGTTGCCTTTTCGGAAGATAAATATACTCCTTTTTTAAAGGATTGCAGCGAGTTTCCAAAACATGAAGGTCATTTTTTCGCAACTCATTGCAAAATTGGAGCAGGTTATTGAAGAATCCAACAGAGATACAAGTTTGACTTCTCTGCTACGATCATTTCAAAAGGGAAAGAAGTAAGCTTTTCTTGAAAACCACGTATCACATCATATACCGTGACAATGCAGCCTCTCTACAGACGAACAATTTATCTACCAGCAGTAGCTTCCATGTAGATTTGAAAATGTGGTTGTGAATTTCTAGTCAGCCAGCAAACTGTAACATGGTATGAGCAGAAGGCTTATGTGTCATTGGTCCGAAATTCTGACACGGTTCCCTTTCTGTAGGAATCGAGTTCTGGTGTACGTGCTTTACAAAGAAGAAGCACTTCATGTTGAAGGTTTGCTGCAACAGAGGTAGTTTTCCAACCTTACGAACTTCATATAGGTGCGGAAACGGAGCTGAAATTCTCGCATTAGTATTCTTGAAAATCAATTTTTATTGGGAGTTGTGTTGCAGAGGGTGGAAAGTTGCTTCAGTTCATGGAGGAATATTTGAGCCGGACAGGAACAAGGCTGTCTTTTCCTTCCAGAATGGCTCAAGTTCTGTTCTTGTAAGTGCAATAGCTTATTTCTAGCAACGACATTCTACAGCGTTTTCCCATGCTTATCTTAGATCTGGCCGAAAATTTCCACTTTGAATCTCTAATTAGGGGATACATTTTTGGTAGGTCGCTACCGATGTGGCTGCGAGGGGTTTGGCCATTCCCAACGTGGACTACGTCATCAACTATAGCTTTCCATACACGTTATATGATTATGCTCGTCGACTTGGGCAAATAGGCAGGACAGGACAAAGAGGCATCATGCATACTTTCTTCCTGCCATCCAATCAGGTAATTGGTGCATCGAATGTGTGAGTCCAATTACATCGTGTCACACCACACCTTCCTGAATATTCTACATCGTCTAGTGCTGCCAACGCCTTACATTATGCGTCGCAAGGTGCCTCTGCGAAGAGATTTTTTACTTAATTGGTTTGCACATTGTGGAAGCAAACCTCACTCAGGGATTTAAGTACATCGTTAACAATATCGACTAATCTCTATGTACACCTGTTATGTCAACGTCTTACTTTCTAACAACTAAGCAATGCCGTCACGAATTATTACGCGATCTCTACTTGGAAGCGCATTACATGCAATATAGAGTGCATTCGGGGACCATGCACACATTGCTATTCTGTAGGAACTACTTCTAACGACAGTTCTTATTGTGCAGGCTCGAGCCAAGGAGCTTGTTGAGGTGTTAAGAGAAGCAAAGCAAGATGTTCCCGAGGGGTTGCTACTTTTCACAAGCCCCGCTCAAAAGAAGCCAAGAACCGAATATTGAGACAGGATTTTCTTGCACATGTATGTCCTACTTGAACATGCATTTGCTGCATCTAAGCAAAGAGGACTAACATATGGGATATACCTACTTCAACTTCAGATAGCTACGAATTGTTAGTGTCGTCTTGAATAGAAGGTGCGCATACAATGTAGCATCGGGCATGTTATTGCTTTCCTTGATGTGGAAGATTGATCTCATGCTGTAATCCTCTGTCCGAACCAGAGTGAAGCGTGTTGTAAAGTTTTTGTTCAATATCATTGAGCTGTTTCGCTGTCGCTTGTGAATAGACACAAACATGTTTCTCCTACACTGTATATTTATCGTGAAGTACCTTACTCTGAGGTTGTTATGGGCTGTTTGAGTGTCAGGATGTCACAGAAGTCATGATCACAAGATAAGCCATTACATCAGTATAAACTAGTTTTATTCTTATTCGTCAACTAAAACCTACACCGTGTCCTAACTATTGCCACTTCCTTTCAGGATATAATTATTTCGCAAGTCACACTGGGTTCGCCGGGGGGCGCCAGACCATACTCTGGCCGCCTTTGCGGATAAGTCTGATTCCTCCTCCTCCGTTGTTCTCAAGTTCAAAGTAACTCACTGCTTCCATTTGTGCATAATTGTTTCCAGACTGTCTGTTATCGGAAAGCGTGTCAACAATGTGCTTCATACCAAATCCCATTGGCACCGACATCCAATGGCTGTCGCTTGGGTCGAAAGATACCTTCCATCGGCGCTCGAGGCACAGAACGCTATAATCTGGGGCTCAATGAGAGCTTTCTATTTCCTCCCGCAAGCTTACTTGGCTACTTATATATACATGCTCCTTGTATCCGTGAAGGTAGGTGTATATATATTGTGTTGTGCTTCTATTCCTAGCTGGGGTAGGGAGTAATGATCCCGTTCTATATATGATAGAAGATGCCTCAGTCTGACAAAAGTCTTGCCGGTTTGGGCATGGCTGCCCCCCGGATGAAGAATGGATGTCAACACGGAGTAAGTGTGATGCACGGAGCTTTTTCGCTGGCAGTTACTAATGGTTGGTAACCCTCCGTTTGTTCACGAAAACCCGACTCAGAGCTGCTGGTTTGCTTTTAGGTGGGAGTCTGAACGGTGAAGTCCGAAGTTGACGTCCATCTTTGCCGGATTTAGGCTTCTCTACCGTAAGGGTTCTCTTTCTTCCCCACATAAGTATCCTTATCGTCAGACATGCTTACAATGCAATACCACTTTCAAAGCGGCGTGGATAATACTGTCGGATGCCTTGTCGAGTAACCTTCTCGTGCAATAATCTTACCTATTTGCTTTTTTTCCACATGTGTGCGGCGAGAGGAAGGATACCATCTTTCTTCTCTCCTTTAGACGATATCTACGGAGGCATGAGAACGGCTGACAGTCTCCTAACGCATGCCTTCGCGAAGCAACTTACGTGGGGGGAATTAGCTGCTAGTTACGTGCCAGCCGATTTAACTTGCCATTTTTTCGATTTTAAATGGACACCTCGATAAGAAAACCCGGATAAATTTCATAAAAGGTTTCAGTCCGGTGGCAAGGACCGAGATAGGCGATCGTCTTCTAATGGAAAATAAGGTTTTAGCTAGTTGCTCCTAAATTTCTCCACGACGTCGCTTTTAGGAGAAATATGACTTCTTTTGATTTCTGTCTCCTAACATGCCATTGGCACCACCCCAGCTCAGATCCGACCAAACCGTTAAGCATTGCTCAAAGACTTCTATTTTCAGGTCTCTTTTTGTACGTTCTCCTTTTGCAGTCGTGCCACACTTCTCTCTACGTGACTCCCAGCTTGCTCTTTTTAGCCGTGGATGCCTAAAAACGATATGCTTCGTGAATCATTCATGAGCGGACCCCACTCCCGCAATCCCTCCGGACCCTCCCGTCTAAGTTTCAAATGAATACATTTCAGCTCCTGTTTTCCCTTCACACGAGGTCCTTTCGGACCAAGTGGTCCCACCAAAACTTGCTTCTTTCTCAACCTGGTGACGAATCTCTCTTCTCTCTCCTAGCGCTTCAAATACAGCATGTCGATCAGCATTTGTGCGAATATTGTTGCTCGCAGAGAGTACCCACGACATCGAAGTTACTGACTAGATTTTCAAAGTGTGTAGAGTGCTCTTGCTGTATGAAAAAATTTGCGCCTTGGTGCTTCAAGACTTCATTTCACCTGTAGGTTCAGTTTATCGGATGCCTAAATCAGACTCTCCTTTGGGTTACTTGCAACTAGCTTTGAATTCCTGGCCCTTAGTTTCGCTGCAATGCAAGACCTTGGGCTAACGGTGTCCTTTCACGAAACCCTTCTGAGGATCTTGCTTAGAATGCTTCTGAGACCTTCATCACCTTTTGCAATCTCTAAGAGCATCATTTCTCTTTTAGAGAAGTCAAAATTACGAAGCTGCGTTTTGCATCCAGGGCTCAGAATTGATGCTTCTTTCTTAGCTGTTCCTTACCAATGGTTTACCGAACTTGAGCTGTCCTTTTGAGCAATCGAGGAGCAGGCAAAGTGTCTTGGAGTAGCGGCTCCGGAGGTCTTGGGCTGGTTCGCGGTAGACATATTCACATGCTTCCAATATGCAGGTCGCAAGTACATGAATGGTCACCAGTTCCCCCATGAGGGCAGATCGAAAGGGATGTTGTAGAGACTCCTACAGGGTGAGCTGTAGACGTGTTGGGGAGTAGGAAATGATTTGCGAAAGCAGGGGGCAGCTGGAGCGCGTATGTTTAAGTGCCAACAGTATGTTTTACAATGTAGCAGATAGCGCATTCCCCATGCTGACTCTCCAAAGCTCTGGCCAAATTTCTCCTTCCTTGCCTGCCGCCTCTGGTGAGCCTCCCCTCCTCCTTTTTCATTACAGGTCGCAGCATTCAATTCGTTATCAGGTCTAGCGTAGTGAAGGAGCTTCCGAGTGCACAAGTTCACTATTCTAATTCCAGACGTCAATTCACGAGGTCACCAAAGTCATTTGTCAGGACTACAGCAGCAACTGGTAGCTTACGGCAGCTTAGAAAAATGTAGTGTTAAGTGAGTTACCCGTCGATATCGACGTCACGTTTTTTTGGACGACGGCACTTGCACGATCTCATGGTCGCCGCGTATTCCACCAACGTGTGCCTGGATAGCTCTGGCTCTCTCTCTTCTCTTGGCTAGCATATGTAGCAGAGTAGCCATTTGTGACCTGACTTTCCATTCCTCTCTCGTCCCGAATCGTCTCCGACATGCGGCTGGTAGGGCACGATCTTTGACTGCAGTATATGGTCCTTGCAGTTGAGTTGCCTTCACTCATGCGCGGATTTGTGTTTGGATGTGTAGGAATGGCCCAGGATTTCCAGCAGTTTGGCCCATTGGACGGAGGGCTAGTATCTCAAGTTGATCTCTCCAACTATGCGATGAAGCCACGAGTGCTGTGTTTCGGAATACAGTCGGAAGTTGCCAAGGAGTTGTCTTTTGTGCTCAACAAGAATGGCATGTCCACAGCGGGATCCAAACTTGCTGCTGAAACTTCTGTAGAGGGAGGAATGGTGGTCGTGCGTAGCCAATTGTGCCCCTGGTCAAGTATGAACATAAACAATACAAATCGGATTGCAGTAACTGACCCACTCAGCTTTCAAGGCATGCTGGAAGTCGCACTGTCCTCTGATGCAAGACGCCCTGCCAGGTAGAATGATACAGGTGTTTGGGTTTGGGCATTCTGCTAGAGCCTGTAGGATATTCTCTGAAGGCTTGCGTAGGGAAGCCAAGTTTTGAAGTCTTGAGATTGTTGTCCACTGGATGTGAGGAAGTGCCTCGCACGAAGAATTTGTTATCTTCACTGGCGAGTTTATTTGCACGCTCTCTGAGTGATATGACCTTGCTGTGCATGTATGATCTAACCCGTTTATCTCTTGCGGTGCTCTTAAGGCATGAAGGGTGGTGCAAGTACTGTGCAACGCTGGAAAAAGAATTGACGAATTCTTTAGAGGTGAAGGAGAAGTGGGCCGACGAGAACTCATGGGAGGATGTAAAATTTAAGCAGGCAGATCAGTATTTCGAATCTAGAATGAATATGTCGATTGCCGAACAGGACAGCCGGAAGCGGAAGTATGGACTGGTACGTGAAACCATACGTTGCACATAGTTCGCACTACTTTTATACATTTTGGCTTTAGAAACTTAATATCTGCACTATAAAAAGGGAATTGTTGTGTTTGTGCAAGCCCCCATGAGCTTTGATTGGGGTTGTCACTACGTATATTGCTATGCACTCAAATGGTATAAATTGGGATCAGCATGGAACTCAGTAATGATATTATGTTGATGTCTGAATAGCAATGGTTAGTGTAAGAATTAGCGTTCGGGAATGCTAGTGAATGTGTTGCTCATTGAGGAGGTCTCCTGTGTTTCTCCAGGACGACTGGGAGAATGACAGAGCATTTGTGCTATTAAAATTGAATGAGCTCAACACGCGTGCGACTCGGGCAGAGCAGAGAGTGCTTGAGCTCGAGCAGTTGTTGCGAGATCATGCTCTTGGGTCTCTCGACGAAACGTGCGACGACTCTGACATCGTTACCTCTGCCTCTCAGCACGATTGCTTTAATGAGGTGCGCATTGAAGTAATCCGCGATGGTCAAATTTCATCTGTTATTTGAAATCAAAGGTTGACAACCATTATCGGGAAGATGACGATTACGAGGTGATGATCTTAATTTTTAATTATTTCGAAGTATTGAAGTCTACGAATGGGTTGGTTGATGTCCACACAGGAACAATCCGAGATGCTGGTGTGTAAGATTGCAGGATGCAACAAGTCTTTCAAGTCCAGTAAAACACTCCGTCGCCACGTCCTGCAGAAGCACTCGGACAACGCACGGTTCTTGGTGTGCAACCAGCCGACAGTGAACGGCCTGATGTGCCGCTTCGAGACAATCCACTCGGGGGTACTGTCATACCACCGCAAGCACAGCCTGGCACATCAAAGGAGGGAGGACTGGCACATCTCCTGTCCTTTTTGCCAAAGCAAGTTCGCCAGGCAGCACGAAATGGAGCGCCACCGACGGATCTGCAAGTCCCGCCCCGCACCTCGAGCCTCCCCTTCTCATGGATCCGTCCAGTCCACCGTTACCGGGAATCTGTCAGAGCCAAGGCCAGGCCTGAACGCCCACCCGTTGCAGATGTCGAGCTACGTGCTGCTGCCCGACCGCGGGACCCACAGCCACCAGCTCTTCAGCATGCCAGATAGCAACATTGAATCTAGTATTTCATACTAGGTGATGGCCGTTGCGTGACAAACCAGCGGCGTTACGCAAAGCTCGCCGGCAAAGCTGCGCCTGCTTTTTCCTTTCCCGACCCGAAGCTTTGTCACCTTGCCACCATCACCACCATTATTCACTGAGAGGAGCATGTTCCATTCTCATGCCCTTCAGAATTCACTAGGATTTGGACCCCAGTTCTCTGCATTCGTCATTTTTCGCAATTGATAGGTAATTGGTAGCTCATAAAAATACTCACATGACTGACTGATCGATCGTGATGCTTTCCTCCTTCGCGGCGCATGGTTCCTACTCTTGCGGGTTGTTGCAGCTCCCCTAGGTCCCCCTCCACCCCATTCTTTTTCTCTCTTCAATTTACTTATTATTTTTTTCCTTGGTTTGGTTCACGTGAACCCGTCCCAGCTTGGATTGTACATCTGCCATGCAATGAATCTCCTTCGCTGCCGTGGAAATGATCAGTATCACTTTTGCCGATGTTGTCATGGTCCGGAGGGAGCGAAATCTCTGAAAGCCTTCGACAAGTTCGTCAGTTGGAATTTTATACCTTAGAGGAAGATTTGTGAAAAAGGAATTTCTACAATATGTCTTAAAAGTTCACAGTGACCACTTTTTCAAATGAAGTCAGAGAATCAGAACTTTGTGTTGAAAAATAGAGAGCAATTTCTCGTTTGTTGAAATGGAAAATTTTCAACTTTGTTGTACAGCGTGCTTTTTTAACCTTCAATAGAGAAATTAATTTCACTCGTTTATATCTATAAAGTTTTTTATTTTCATGTAATATTGTTTATTTATACTCTTGCTTTCTTGTGATTGTCAGTCTTTGTAAATCTTATTGCAACGAAATTCATAATAAAACCACCACGTTTATCATTTGTTCGTGTGGAGACATGCACGTATTTAAAAGATTGCTGCATGATTGGAGCAAAATCTCTTCACCCACTAAACTCTTATTGTTCTTATACAGAAGAAATATATTAACATAATATGGATTAAAATTTTAGTGTCAAAATAAAATAATAATAATAATAATAATAAAAGTATTGAAAGAAACCTTACTTAATTCACAAATCACTTTCATTTTTTTAATATATAAATATACTTTCCCAAATAAACCTAAAAAATCACAATATCTATTACTTTTTTAAATTTTAATAACAAATATACAAGTTATTAAAAATTGACGTTGTTTAGAATCCAATGAAAATGTTCTTTCTTTGCAAAGTATTTGATAAAGAACATGTTTTTCAATAACCCACCAAATAGTGTGAATCTTTGAAGCAAATAACATTTCAAACATCAAAAATTCATAACTATCTTTAGATTTGATTTAGATAAGTGTTTATTCAATAATTGATGATTTATTTAACACAATATATAGCTGGTGTCTTATAAAAAAAAGGAAATCACTTTATTTTCAACTAATGAATTTGATTCAAAGATTAGTGCAATAATTTAAATATACAATTTGGTATTTTTCAGTTTTAAATATATTATATACTTAAGATATGTCAAAGATACTATTAAGTTCTACATTTATGAACAAATTACTTCATGCAAAGAAAATAAACATGTGTTAGTAAAAGTAATAATAATATCAATAATTAAATAATTATTGTTAAGATTTACAAAGACTGACAATCACAAGAAAACAAGAGTATAAAAAAGAACTAAAACCACTTAGAAGAATCTTAGAATTAAGTTTTATGCGTGCTTCTTGCAAGACTTGAGGGTTTTGGCAAGAAGAATTAAAAAGACTTGTTAACAAAGTGATTTGGAGGAAGTTTTTTAAAACAAAATTTGATTTCCAAACTTCATGTTAGAGGGTATTATGAAGTTATTAGAATAAATTTTAAAGTATTTAATATGACATCAAAATCTTTATAAATCTAAATATCTGTATATATAAAACTAGTTTTAAGTTTGAAAATCAATAATATAACTCAACTAAGATAAAATCCTGGAATGGGTGTTCTTCCAATGAGGGTGTGATGAATGACATATATTCGTGGATGAATGACGGATGGACGGATCCCATGTACGTTGTCCAAGTTCTACTGCCTTTAATTTTTTTGATTTATTTCTTTAGATACTTTGTTCTACAATATCATTGATTTTATTTAAATAATTATAATGATTTCACCAGTCAACACTTTTGTATGCTTTACATAGATTTGATAATAAGATTGCTAAAACTCAGTAGACGTTTGTACTCATTAGTACTCATAAAATTAAAAGGAATAACAAGTGTAATGAAATAAATTTATATATATATATATATATATATATATATTTTTTTTTTGTTTTTGAAGATTTTAATAAAAATCTAATGTGAAATCATCAGAAAGTAGACCCATGATGCCCTCTTTCACACTGTTGCAACTGGCGCTGTGTCAGTTAGAGACTCCCCCATAGGCTCGCAGTGGTAGGGTTCCAAGTTTAGGGTTTCGATTTTTGAAATTCATGGCGATTGGTCAGCTCGCGCTTCAAATTTGGAGACGGAAACGGGTCTCGGCTACGAGAGTTGCAGCGGATCTCACACGCCATCCACTTACTGGCGCTTTCACGGGGCTGACTCTTGTCGAGAATCTTCGCCGGATGATCCTAGTCCATGGATCTCCTCAATCCGGCTTCTGTCGATGTCGACGAAGATCCGATCCCTTTCACGTCCTCCTGGATCTCTGCGATGTAAACTTCGTGAATTTGGTGCACCGTATCGTTAGATTTGTGTGCCTTGAGACTGACTCATATTTTGATTAGTGTTGAATATCACGCCATCTGCCCGACGGGCTGGACCCATGTAAGACCGTGCATGGGCTTATTGCGTTGTGTGCTGCAGTCGAGAGGAACGTGGGCGCGCCGCTGGATCGAGCTTACTAGTCTTTTTGGATATTTGGAGATCCCAGGGTGTTAATGTGAACCGAACCTTTCTCTTGGATGTTGCAGAACTTCCCTCTCCTCCTTCTCGTGCTCTTCATTGGAACTGGGGCTTTTCCAAACTGTGTGACGTAGCCTAGCCCTGCAACCTGCAGTTCCCATGCGCTCCGTACTGTGGAACAGAAGCAGTCATCGTCTCAGAACGCAAGGTTTAGTAAACGTTATCATGTCAAAGGCATAACCTAGAACACAGCCGACATTTTAACGCATCTGTTCTATGAGTGAACTCATCGTGAAACAGGTCCAGGAAAACCACTGAGACCTTCGTGAGGGTCGAGTGTCATCGAACCCAACGACCCTGTTGAGCTTATTAAAATGTGTATTGGGGATGGGAAGAAAAACTGTTGAGAATCATGTGATATGAGAGCTGATGAAGCGCGTCATGGATGCTGACGTGGGTTGCTCACACACCGGGAGTAAAGTTGGTCTCCAAGAGCAAACAGAACAAATTTCTTTTGGGGGACAAGAGCAGACCTCTGCAAAATGGCGTGCCGGCTGAATGTTGGAATTTAGTGAGCTCTTAGCAAATGATGTTGATGCCTTGCTCAGTATCGTCCATGACAGAATTAAAAGATTTTCGGATTGTAGCGACTCCTTAACTCGCATGTACTATTAGATTTTCTTTATCTAGTCCTAATCCAACGTGCACACTAGCTGAACGGAATCCTCTTCCTCGGGCTCCTGCTGGAGAGAATTGTAAATCAACAAGAAGAATGCGCATGATTCTATCCCGCAATAGTGGTCTAAACAATTGAAGCTAAATGTTGCAACATAACTATTGCATCGTAAGTCTGACCACGGTGGAAATCTGACCAGGAGACTGATATCCGACCACAGATGTAGATTGATTTCTAGAATTTATTTGCACCCCAAGTCTTTTTCTAACATCCAATTTCGCATTGCATATCGACTCGGTTTTCAACCCTTGCGTTCAAAACCAGACTTAAAGCACACACACTATTCAATGCACCGGGTATATCCCGGCTGTGTCGAAAAAAGAAAAAAAGAAACAAAGAAACAAACGAGACTCAAAGTGTTGAAAACTCCTCCGAAAGAATGAGAATTCCTGCAGAGACTCAAAAGGAGCCATGGTGACCAATCGTAGAATAGTAATCTCACAAGTCCACCAGGCCGAACAATGCCGAGGATCATCAGGATCTGTCGGGTGTTTCAAAAGCTACATCGGAGGCTTGTCTAGTTTAATCCGACACCACCCGTTCAGTTTCATGAGCTAAAAATTCATGTGGATCACTCTGCGTGTGTTATTGGCCTAATCTCCATCAGAATTCGACTAAGAAAAGAGATAATATGCGTACCTTATTGCTGCTTCCTGAGCTTTCTCGTGTTTAGAGTGGCAAAATTTGGCAAAAACATAATTCTTAGGATGCGCACTACTGGCACATCTGTCGTGTGAAGGGTACAAAGATTTTAGAATTATGATATTTGGATCAAATTTATAAAAATAGTCCATAACGTAAGTAGGAAGATGTGTTCTCCATGGCATTGCCCATCAGTCAATCCACATTCATGATCGGAGGCATGGTCCATGATGGACACAATACTTTCGATCAGCTACCGTCAATAAAATCCCTGCAAGATCGTGGAATAGATAAGTAATGACTCGATCAATTCAGTCCAGAATCATTCTCACCCCCCTATCGAAATGAAGATCGTCAACAATGTAGCAGCGGCAATATTGTCTGCAAGCGTTTCAGTTACAACTGATACACTCAATCCTTATTGACCTCGAATGTAAGACGAATGGAAGAACATCCAAAAGTCTTTAATTCCATGTGAAGTAAAAAAGCGCGATATTGTGGCTGGGTCGGTGCACTTCTTGGAGAATAACGGCAAGTTGTATCCACGAATCAGGGCATGAACCAACATGCAGTTGGCGACGCAGCCAACACATTCATGACTCCAAAGCCTTAACGCTTGCACAGCGAAGCGGAAACTATCACAACCAGGGGATGGCAAGTATTCAAGACCCTCATTTACAGCTCACAAAAAGGTATATGAACTTGTGAATAAGAAATCATCCGTCGATCCGAAGCAAAGCACGAGGAGAGTTTTGGGCTTTGGCCGAAACTGGCAATTCCCCATCTGGAACCCTTGCCGAAAATGGCTGTTCACCGTCTGGAAATAACTCGGTTCCGCTGTGAGCTCATCCAGCCATTGCACGCCATCAGGAAAAAAGTGTGACCACAGAACCCAACGGGATCTTCGATTCTGCACTCAATGCGGAACAGTAGGAGCCGATCGCGCAACAACAGCGGGTGTTGATTCCAGTTCTGTTTCTAAAAACTGGTAAGGAATCTGCACATGCAAAATGAACACAGCCTTGACTGCTGTTCCGCCGCAAGTAATTTTCCGTGAAGTTGGTGAAGATGATATCTCGACAGCTACACAATGTGTCTGGATGCTTCTGGTGCTTTGATGTGCGGCTCGTGAAGTTGCTTCGTTGAGTTCCCTTGAGGGCAGTTCCTTTATCCCCCCCCCCTTTTTTTTTTTCTTTTTTCTTTTTTCTTTCTTTGACACAAAGACGGAGTATACCCGATGCATTGACAGAGTGGTTCCTTGAGAGAATTTATTTTATAAACATTTCTAGAAGTAGATGGTTATCTCCAATTTATTTATTTTCATCTTTAATTTTTGGGTTTTATTTATGAACACTGTTATGGCGACGTGATGTTTATGGGAATATGAATACATAAATTCCGGTTTACGTAAATGTAACAGTCGATGTGTAAAGCTTATCTGTACTATTAAATGTTGTACTCGATTATTGTTCATGTTTAGCCTACACATTACATTCATAAACATTGAGATGTGTGCGTGTGTGTATATTTTTATTTAAACATATGAGATCTCTCTATATATGTAATTATGCACAGGGAGTGAATAGTATTCAGCTTTTTGCTTATTTTTATTTTTAGATACAACAACTAAGCAATACGCTGGCATCCAGTTTTATGATTTTATGTTATGTAACTGTGTGTATAATTCTCAGTAGACACATTATACAAATAGAAAATATTTGTAAAACATTTACACCTTACTCATATTGCAATATTCCAATATTTATTTATAGCCAAAATTAAAAACAGATGCAAAAGGCGGCAGCATCGAAGTTCAGGATGACAGCAGTGCTACATTTAGGTTCAAACAGAATTAAACATATATCCAGATATGCGACATGCACACACACAACTTACTCAACATAATGATCTGAAAAGTGATTTTTGTTACTAATTTAGTGTAACGACACTCCCACCCAGATTCCCAGTATCAATTACAGCCCAAGTGTTAAGCTAATCCAGATTTTTGCCGCATATTTAAGCTTGAGAAGTTTGATGCCATTTGGTAGAATAGCACATTCAACGATGCACTTAACCCTACAACACAATACAAACCACGCCAAGTGTAAAGAAGCAATGCACCATTTCCCACCGTTGCTACTTCGTCCGCACCATCGTAAGTTGTCAACACTTGAAGCTCTCACAGGGAAAATAGAAAATTTCTGGAGGTGTCGATACGATAGGCAAGCATCTTTCCCAGTGGGCCTCTTCCGCGTCGCATTATCCCGGGTACTACTTGCGTAGCGACAGAATCTGTGGTTTGCTCAGATTACGAGGCAAGTGCAGGTGGGCGCGGCTGATACGGCATCATGGGGCCCACTGCTTCGGGGGAAAAATCTAGCGTCAGTTCAGGAGGCGAACAACTCATCGAATCCTCGTGCACGCCCGCCGCGACGAGAGACCCGGTGCCGAGACTAACTTTTTCCTGTCCTCGATGCTGTCAGTTGCCGAGTCAACTCTCTATCGAAGTCTGTCTGCCTCCAAGAGCTGACCTTCCAGGATTGAAACTCAATTTCACGGCGTCGTTCTCCTCCTCAGTCATTGAAATCTCAATCGCTGCAGCGCGACTTCGATTCTAATCGCTCTGGTGGGCACACTACGTAACGATAGGAGGATATTATCAAACCCTCAAACGTTGGATCCTTTCATTAGTCGCGAAGTACACTGAATCCAAGTGCACGATGATCGAGTGTAGCTGCTTGAGCTCATCGATGCCTTGCGACGACGAGGTAGATGGTCGCGGAGGGATCGTTGCCTACGATACATATTTGCAATACTGCTTATACATATGATATTCAATAATACGTGCAGTTGAGTTGGATTTTAATGTCTGGAAGTAGCTGTCACTTACTGGCGACATTTATTTAATGCTGGTATAAACTAAATGATCAACTTGGCAATTAATCATTGTTCATTTAATGGATCTGAATTGTACTATTTTTACGAGAATAATCAAATCATAACATTTAAGAGAATGTTACGTGGTGTTTTGAAGTATAAAATTAAAGAGGCTCTTAGCATGTCCCAGCCTAATGGCACTTTATGATGTGGATACTTATACGCTTTTATTTGTCTAATTTGCGCAAATATGGATACTCATATTATTGGACTTTGAAGATGAAAAACATATTTTGTGTTTAGATAGGTAATGTTAGATGTACCTACATTACTCCATAGTATTATTTATATAAAATGCAACTGAGTTATATATGCTAATGAGTAATATTAAAAAGTATGTATCTAGACTTGGACTTTAAAGCTTTTCAAACATATAATTCTAACTGAAATAATTTTCACTCAACATGATGTAAATTTTAAGTTTCATAAATTTAAAACAAATTCAAATGCATTTTTTTTAATCTAGAATTATCTTTACTTTTTATTTTAATATTAATATGTATATTTATATATATAATTTACTAGACACAATGCTATCCATGGCTTAAATTTTATTTATTATAAAAAGTAGAGAATAAAAATTTAAATAGAAAAAAGAGAGTTTAGATTCTAAACTTTGTAGTCTACAAAATATAAGTTTGTATTTGCCAAATTGCAATTAATTTAGGAGCAACTCTATACTATATCTTACACAAAAATTCTTATAATGCAACAAAGGCTTTAGTTTTGTCTTTTGAGTGTTTTTTGGATCTAAGTAAAGACACCTCTTTTTTTCTTTTGACAAAGGTAAAGGTATGCAATTTGTACAAAATTATTTTTTTGGTTTTTCAAAAGAAGATACTATAAGGATTACAATTCAATTGAAACTTATGCAAATTGCATTTTTCCAAACTCATAGAAAAGCAGAAAAAAGAAATAATACTAGAAAATAATAATAAATAGAGTGTGTAATTTTTTAAATTAGAAAGAAAATAAAGACCTATCTATTGCTCTAGGCATCCACAAATTTGCAAATAGACACCACTCAATGCATCAAAAATAACCCATGAGATACCACCATAAAGTTTCACTAGGAGTTATTTAGGTTTTCTTAAGTAAAAATCACTCTAAGATGAATTGAAGTTGATAAAAACTTAGAATGTGCTGAAATTGAATACTTTTTGAATCATGTTGTAATTCTTTCCTTTGTGAGTAAAAACTCTTTGTTATTATTATTGAATCAATTAAAGAAAGATCTACAAAGACATATTTAAATTAAAAAAAATAAATTAGACACAAGATACATTTTTTTGCAATCAAATTCAATAACAATTATAAAAAAATACCTTACTATTTTCACCATGTAAAAATTTAATGTGACTATATATTTTTTAATGTTAGAATTTCAACTTTAATCCCAAAGTGATTTAAAATCTCAATTTACAAATAGTCTAGAATCTATTAAGATCTCTATATAAATTACTTTAAGAGATTTAGCAAATAAGTTTCAAAAAGTGGCCTCTCAAATCACAACATGTTTCAGCTAAGTTTTGGATGTAATTCCAAACAACCACAAAAATCATGAATTAAGATTTTGTGTGGCTTTAAACTTAGATGCATAGAATTTTAATCATCTATCCATGCTAATAATAGATAAGATGGTACACACTAAATCCATGATAGTCATAATTTTAACTTGGTATACAAGCCTTGTAGTAAAATTAAATATTAGAAATATAATATAAAAAATAATATAAAATCCAAAATAAAAGGAGTTTTGTCTATTAAAGGCTCTTCTACTTAGAATAATCTACTACTTGTAATCGTAGAAAAAGAAGTAATAGCTAAGAAACTTCAATCACTCAAAGTTAAGAATAGTAGCTCCAAGCTTAATTAACAAGTAATACTCTAATGAATTAATAGTAGTATATTATTTTAGCATCCAACCTTTATAAGACAAACTAAATATTCAAATCATAATATATAATAAATAGTATAGAAATCCCTAGGAAAAAAGAAAATTAGAATGTTAATGGAAGAAATGGAATCTTAGTAAGTCTTAGACGCAATTATCTACGTTGGTTTAGTATTTTTATTCATTATTGAATAGTAAGAATTATTTATTAAGACCAATATTTATATTGGTCTTATATCTATATGTACTACTTGTAAAAACTATAAATGTTAGTAGTTAGAAGAAGCATGAGAAAGAACCTCATGTCATTTTAGTTATTGGTATAAAAAAAAAAAAAAAAAAAAAAAAAAAGATTTATAGTAGATTTAAATTGATTTTTATTATTATCAAAAATCACCAAGATATAAAAATGTAGCCTTACATGGATACTAGCATTATAAAAATATTATAAAATTTTTCAGAATTTATTTAGAATTTATTTAGAATTTATTTAGAATTTATTTAGAACTTATTTATATGTTTTAAGGAATTTTTAGAGCAATATTTAAGATCTTGGTAAAAATGAGTTTTACCACTTTGGAAGCCATTATGAAGAAATGGAGTAAGATTTGAAGGCCATATTAAGTTCCCAAGCTAATTGGATGTTTTAAAATACCATGGTGTATTTGCTTGTATACATTTCTTTCACTTGTTGGTGTTGTTTTCTTCTTTTGTTCTTGTTTATTTCATCTTCTACTTCACACTACCCATTACAAGCAACTCTTAATTGAAGCCATCTTGTAATTTGGATAGAAGGGTGAAATTTACACTCATAGAGCCTTCTCAATATCAAATACTAAGGAACTCCTAATCATCATTGCCATTCTGGGAATAGATTGGAGTTGACCACCTCATGACCCACCAAGGAATTAAGAGGTAGTTGCATACAAAGCATCATCGTGTATCAGATTTTATACTATGTATAACCATACAATAATTAATATCTATTAGATCTTAATTAAAGTAAATTACAACAAGAATGTTATTTAACATTTTTTTTAAGAACTTCTTTTGAGAATCATATCTTTGATTTTTGTTTTTATCAATTTTCTTTCTAATTCTATTGTTTTTTAATAGTCTACACATAGAAGGTGCAAATAATATGCTTTCTAACAAAATTTGATGTTGTGTGTTGGTGTTTATAAA